TAGCATCTCTGGAAAGAATGAACACCACAATAAAACCAGCCAACTTCTCTCACCAAGGAGACAATGACAAAGGAAAAGAATGAACTCAGTGATATAAATGACAGGCTCCAGACATGCAGTCTAAAGGTTTCTTAGTGTGTCCTGGAAGAGGATCTTCTCTACAGCAACCATGGAGCTCAACTAACTGAGGAGATCAGGGCCGTTACTGGAGAGTCTGCCTACTATGTAGGTACCACTCAAAGTAGAAAACTGCAGCATTAGAACACCATTCTGGAAAAACCCTTACAGGCACCAGTGAAAGGCCACCGTGGACCAGCTAGTCCACAGCCTGTAAGACATTCTAATGTATCTTTTTAATATCTATTTTAACACAGATGAATTAATTTATTCATTCTTTCAGTTCTGGTCCTCTAAAGAACCGTGGCTACTATGAACATTCTTTAACATTCCTTATTAAATTATCAACTTATCAGGTCTTAGTTTTTCAGATCTCCTTTTCTCCTAACCGTTCCTCTTTTTCTAGTTATAGTTCTATAGTTTGCAAATGAGCTTATTACATTTAAAATAAGACATATGGAAGCACGTGAATGAATCCCAGAATTGTGTATACACAAATCATGGGTAAAAAACGTGTCACTGGGTAACAGTAGTACTCTAGAAATCCTGAATAATGAGATACAAATTAATCCATGGAGCAACAACCAATAAATTAGATGAAACCAATCAATCCACTAGTTTGTGATGTTTCTGCATTTAGGTACACATTTAGGCTGTGGGAAAATGATCAATATGACTGAGAAATTATAAAGTATATTGGATGAAATTAGTCTTTTCAAAGCATGTAACCAACCCCAAATGATAGCATGTTAAGAAATATCAATGAAAGGTTTTAAAAGATGAATATCCTGTTTTAGTTTGTGTTTTGAGACAGGTTGTCTGTATATAGACACAGGTGTATACAAATGATTACATAGTATAGTCTGGCCTTGAACTCAAGAACCTTTCCTTGGCCAGTCTAGTGCAAACACTTTTTTTTTCTCAAGGTGGGGTTTCTCTGTGTAGCTTTGGAGCCTGTCCTAGAACTCACTTTGTAGAACAGGCTGGCCTTGAACTCACAGAAATCCACCTGCCTCTGCCTCCTGAGTGCTGGGATTAAAGGCTGTACCACCACCACCTAGATTCAAAACTTTTAAGACACAAACAGTTTGAAAAATAATCATAATCATATAAGTTTACCAATGATCTCTTCCTCTAAACCTGTGAGGGTAAAATTTTCTCTATTCAGGGAAAAAATAACTGACTTTTAAGGGAAATATTTTTTTCACATGGTGTGTGTGTGTGTGTGTGTGTGTGTGTGTTTGGATGTATTTCTTTCACATGTATGCACACCTGCATGTGTCTGCATGCACACATGCATGAAAGTGCCCTCAGAGACCAGGGACGAGCACAAGGATGTCCTGGAGCTGGAGTTATCAGGGGTTGTAAGCTGCCTGGTGTGGGTCTCAGGAACTCTGTTCCTGTTGGTAGAATGGCACGTGATCTTGTGGCTGAGCCATCTCTCCAGCTGATCTTCATGTGTTTTTAAACAGTGCACTCAACATGTATAACAACAACATATTTAAACATAGTGTTTAAATTCAAAAATCATCCAAATGGCAACTTGTGAAAAAGTTTAAACATATATGATCAACAAAAAATATGGAAAGGATAAAGCAATTCTTTCACTTGATACGGAGATAAACAATAAACCAGTTTGCAAGCCACCTGATAAACCCATGAACATTTTCCTATCCTCTAATACCCAAATGACAAAATTTCAAGTAGGGAAAAAGGCGTGTATCTAAGTACTGGGTCATTTGGAGTGGCAGACAGGCGAAAACAGGTCTGCCCAGGGGTTTATGAATGGAAAGCAGGGCCCTTTAAGAACACATCAAAGATGAGCAGGCTAGAACTGAGAAGCAGGATGGGAGTAAGGAACACTTTTCAGGGAGGTAATGTGGTACTTCCAGGTGGAGAACAGAAAAGGCCTGAGTTTCCAGGTTCCAAGAAGACTGAATGCAGGCTCAGTTCTCACTACCTCCTCACTGAGCCTCTACGAAGAAGTCTTAGGTCTATTTAGAAGATGGAAGGAGGGGAGTGGGTTAAAAAGGAGTTTTTCTTTTTTTTAAATGATAGAAATAAATGGACCATGTTCATTATACAGCCCTCTTTTTCTGGAACCCCATAATGGACAAAGCATGAGCTCCGGAAACAATAAGCAATATTAAAATAAGAAATACGATTTGTTGGAGGTATGATTTCACCAGGCCAACAAAGCCTGCCTGCATGTTCCTAGCTTTGATAAATGGAGGGAACAGAGGCACCAGGTTACAAGATTAATTATGAAGACTAAGATAATGAATATAGTATCAGTGAGTTGCTTTAGTGGGGTGGTATGATTTCTCTCTAATCTCAGTGTCAATAGGAGTCAGGAGGTTATCATCAGTAAAGCATTCGTTGGTGAATTAGAAATCTTGAAGAAAAGGTGCAGAGGAGAAGCTAAATCTATGGACCAGGTTTATAATCAAAGCAATGAATATGGCAGTTCAGTTGTACAGCAAAAGTATGAAGCACAGGTTCAGTGAAGCTCTGCACTGTGATGCTTAATAAAGTACCATCTATCTTTTCCCTCTGCATAAAGGTCAAACTCCGTTGGTATTTCGTTATACAAGAATATCTTGTGGAGGCTGGGGAGATGGCTCAGTGGTTAAGAGCACTTGCTGCTCTATTCAAAGAACTGAGTTTGGTTCCCAGCATCTACATCAGGGCCCCACAACTGCCCCAGGAAACCCAATACCCTTTCTAGCTTCGATGGGAACCCCTCAAACACATGTACATACACATACATACATGCACACATACACATGAATTAAAATAAACACACAGGGCTGCAGAGATGGCTCAGCAGTTAAGAGTGCTTGCTCCTCTGCCAGAGGAACTGAGTTTGGTTCCCAGTACTCAATCTAGGTAACTCACAGCTATCTATAATTCCAGCTCCAGGGGTATCTGATGCCTCTTGCCTCCACAGTCAATACCACCCCCCTACACACAGGTGCGCATGCCTTACCCATGACACATACACGTAATTTAAATAAAAATTGACTATAAAAATAAATATTTTTAAAGAAGAACATCAATATGATCAGTAGTATTATATGTTTCCTTTAATGATGTCACAATTCAGAAGGAATTGGTGACAAATGCTTTTAGTCCCAGCACTCCAAAAGAGGAAGCAGGCAGATCTTTGTAAGTCCAAGGCCGGTCAGGGTTATACAGTAAGACCTTGTTTCAAGAAATAAAATAAATAGGAAGATGTACCAACTCATTAAAACTATATTTTGCGCTGGGCGGTGGTGACGCACGCCTTTAATCCCAGCACTCGGGAGGCAGAGGCAGGTAGATCTCTGTGAGTTCGAGGCCGGGCTGGACAGATAGTGTCCAAAACAATACAGAGAAACCCTGTCTCGTAAAACCAAAAAAAAAAAAAAAAAAAAAAACAACAACAACAACAACCAAAAAAAACTACTTTTTTTTTCAGGGTTAGAATACTCTGGTCTTACCTGAAAGACTTCTGACACCAAGTACCCAAAGGCTCATTACAAAACACCTTAGACCCATTGCTGCCCCAGCACTCACAGGGCTGCAAGACTGTGAGAGCTAACTGCAATAGTGGAATCGGTTTAACTGTTACTGGATTTTTTTTTTAATTACAGAGGTCATTCATGCTTTTTCCATCCTGTATTCCACTCCATCTCCAACTTTTCAAATCTTATCCTATGTAAGTGACATGGTTTTTCAGGAATGACTGAAAATAGCCTTTGTGAACTAGGATGCCTGGGGAAGAGCTGTGTGTGAGAACACCGATCTACTGCTTAGAACTGCATTGACATCTCGAGGTCATTAGATGCGATCCGGAGGCTAACTGCCTTATTTTGAGCTAGCTGTACCAACCTAAATAGCCATTTCTTACCTAACACAGTGTCAGAACTAACACACTGTGACTAAGACAGTGGTTCTCGGTCTTCCTAATGCTGTGATCCTTTAATACAGTACCTCATTTTGTAGTGGTGCCAAACCATAAAATTATTTTCATTGCTATTTATTATCTGTATTTTGTTTGCTGTTATGAATGTTACTGTAAATAATTTTGGAGGTAGAGGTTTTGCCAGAGGGATCTCAACACACCTGTTCTGGACTAAGAAATTAAAAAATCTTTTGGAATCTGTTAACTTAGCAGACTACTAGCTTTTATCAACCTCAAAGCTAAGAATGTCATCAGATAACCTCTGAGGACTGTAACTGATTTGCTGATTTTGCCAGCAATATACTTTTAAATTGTCTCAATTTATTGCTTTCTTCTTTCTGTTATTGTAAACCTCATGAAACTACTTCCACAGGAGAACATGGGACCTTCAGTAACCTAGCTCCATGTTCTCTGGGCCATGGTCACTCAAATTTGGCTACAGAAAACTCTCTTTAACTATTTCCTTTGAAGTGAGTACTCTGTGCAGACATATGTGTGTGCACGCACGGATCCACACGAGTGCATGCGCTTATGTGAGCATGCACATACATGTATGTGTGTGCACACTCATGTATGTGTGTTTGCATTCGTGCGTGTGTGTGCACATGTGCGTGCATTTGTGTGCACACTCATGCGTGCGTGTATGCTCACACATGCACTTTCATAAGTTTTGGAGAAGAATCTTGATCAAAACTTCAAGAACACATATCTCTCGTTCTTTTAGAGAAGCACTGAAAACGCAAAGTTTTAACTTTAGAATGAAATTCAGACCATTAGAACTAAAGAGAATGGGCCCAGACGATTGTACTGTTTCCTGACTCTACTTAGTATTACAGATATGATAAAAACTGAAGACATATTCAATATTCTGACATTCCACTGAAAAAGAATATGTCTAAAATTCAAGATAATCATCATCAGAAATCCGAAAACTTACAAGTATGTCTGGCCAGTGAGTAGTTGGAGCCTCCACTAGTCAAACCAAATCCTTCAGGAATCTGACTAGAGCTCCGAGGTCTGGTCAGCAGTTTGGGTGGTTCAATTTCAGCTCCAAATTCAGCTCCTATCACTCCCAGAAGGACAATAGCAGTGGCCTGCTTCCTTCTTTCTTCATAAGATGTGGAGATTTTTTTCATTTGTGGGACACTTGATAGGCAACCTGAAAACCAAATATATAGGAGTGCAAGTTAAAAAAATATTTTAAAAAAGTATGTGTGGTTAGAGAACATTCTAGACTATGCACTTCAGAAAGAATAGTTGTTTTCAGAAAATGGCACTGGGACACCAGGGTGGGGCAAGAATAAATATGCCACTGAAACAAAGAGATGGAAACACCTTGTTAATAGCCCTAAATCTTTAGATGTTTATTCCTTAAAATACACTAATTCCCTAAAATTTCAGTTTTTCCCCCTTTCCTATCATGTGTAATCTTAGACCACATGTAGGCTGTTTTTATCATGAGACTTCCCCAGTATTAGAAAATGACTTTGTAACTTCTAAGGTTATGAAAAAAAATCACATCTCATTTCTTACATCTCCTATAAAACTAAGAAACATTTTCCAATCTATACTACAACATACATTTTCCCACTTCACAGCAATTTTCTGTTTTTAAAGACAGAAGTACTATTTATTAAAACATTAATTAGGCCCTAATTAGAAGAAAGCATGTAAAAGCTTCACAACACCGAAAAGAAGAAATAGCAGTAGTCTCTTGGTCTGTGTTTAAAGGACCTTAATTCCAGACAATGTCACACTGAACGGTTTGATGACCCAGCTCTCCATGCGTTCACTGAAAATCAACCTCATTTACGTATTTAACTGGCAAAAGGAGTAGGAGCACAGTGCACCTAGAATCTTCTTCTACGGTACTGCTACTGCATGTTTTACTCTGCAGCACACAGTATTCTGGAACTAGGGAACAACCCGCTCCCCTCCCCCACGTCTCAGCAGGCGCGTGCTCCACAACAATAGTTCAAAGGGAAGCTCTATTCTGCAGTTGCACTGATTGTTCTGTCAGCTGACCTCTGCAGAAGGGAATTGCTAACTGCTGCCTTGCTCCTTAGCTGACAAATGAATGATCGCAGCTCCATCTATTTTCACTATGGCTGCCTCTAGCCCAGGTGCTCAGACAGAGAGCCCGGTGTGACATCTTAGATCAAGATGAATTGGCACAAACTCCTGATCCAAGATTGTTTTATACCATTTAATTTAGTTTCTTCCCCTGCTTGGATGAGCACAGCTCTGGTTATGGATTTCTATTCTAATGTACTGAAGCAGGCCCTGAAAGAAGCCGATGAAGCAGCGGCTAGAGCAAGGGACTGCAGGGATACTGATCAATAGGCAAGGCATTGACCCCAGCCGCTCGGCCTCTGCAGCGCCAGGCTGGAGGGGGAGGGGCACAGCAGCACACATGGTCAGCTTCCAGTAGGAAATTAAACAAGGGGCACTTGCAGAGTTCCACTCTCACCCTGGCCCCCCACCTTCTCTATGTTCCTTCTGTTTAATTACCTCAATCTTGTCTTAACTCCCACCCCTAGGGAAGGAATTAAGACTTTACACTAGTTTAATTTGGTACTTTCTATCCGCCATTTATACATTTTATCCCTAAACTAATAGTAAGTATTGTAACAGGTGCCCTCTGCTAAGTGGCTGAAATATGAAATCTTAATTACATCACTTGGTGTAATTTAAAGTTTGGCATGTGCCGGGCCTCACAGTAACACTGTCCCAACAAGTATTAACACTATTGGTACTGAAATTCAGCATTCAATTTTTATAAGCACTCGGATGTAAAAAGATACATCATTGTGAAGAAGGAAATAGAAAAAGAGGAGACACGAGCATCATGAGTGATGCCATAAGGTGTCAGATGCATCCCTGGAACTGTGCTAAAAATAACAGCAAGCCCTCATTTAGTTCCTCAGATTTGGAAATGTCTTTCCTTTATTGGTCTGGCCTGGATTTTCTGCTAAAAAGAAATAATGTGTTAATTAGCTGCAATGCTTTCCTATAAATGAAGCTACCAATCTAACAGAGAATTTGGAGATATTAAAAATAATTCTTTAAAAGTAAGCCTTCCTACAGTTTCATGAAAATCTGGTTTTGGTGTTTTTTTTTTTCCTTTTTTTCACAGAGACATGGCTCCATTTAATCATGCTAAAGGGTGACATAGAGATCCATTTTGTTGACAGGACGGTTGATCACCCTATCACAGTAAGAAAATTAATACCTTCAACTAGCCTGTGCAGAAAATAGAAGGAACCGGATGGTGAGGGACATAAATGTTCTATATTGAAGTTGCAAACAGAAAGCACAGTCTGTGTGAATATGATGTTTCCTTACTTTTAGCAGAACACAGGGTTTGGATTTTGTTAAAACAACTATTGAATACATAGGGTTTCTCAAAAGTACATAATTGTCTTTAGACTAAGCATAATTGACTCCAGATTTACAGGAACAGGAATAAACACTTTGCTTACAGCTTAACTAGAGCACAGGTAAAATATCTGAGAAGTTTAAGCTATTAAAAGGGCTGCAAGATATTGATTACTTCATTTAAAAAGCAGTCAGAGAGTGCAACCGAGAGGTCAAGATAAATTTAACAATTTGAAGCACTTTACTAAATAACTCTAAAGATCATGTTAATTGGCTTTGTGCAGTTCTGGGGTAAAATTAATTTTATCCTAGCTTACAATAAAAGGATTAAAAGACATATTAAGTTCTTCGGCTTTAACTGGAATAGGAATCAATGGATTTGAATTAAAGCTAAAGGCGGTTTTATGAGAGATGGACTACCAGCAGATACTTTATATCTGCAATTAGCCATATATTGATAGAAGGTTGTTATTGTATTAGATATTAAAACCGTAGATAAGTAGATACCACCAATTTACTACTCTGACGAAATACTTTAAGTCTGTGGCTTGTGCTGGGAAAACCGTTTTTAAAACACCGATTCTTTGTTTAGGTCTGAATATCATCATCCTTTCTTAGTTGACTTTTAGCTTAGTAAATTCTAGTTAAAATTAATGGACAATGTGCTTGAATTCAACTGGGATTCCCTTCAAACTGTTATAACATGTAAAAGAAGTTGCACTTCACAAACATACCACTAAGATTTTTAACGGCACTACATTAAGACTAGGCATAGAACAGCAATTTTTGTCAGAAACTTTTGGTATACAATAGAGTGCAAGTGACACTCATAATAATATGAACATTTTATAAATCTGATATGAATTAAATGTACTAAAAATCCCTCATTTTGGAAATTCATAAATATCTGTTTATGGTAGACAGAAAGATAGTAAACGTTTTTTACTCTTAATAATGCCTTAGAATCACATGTGTAAGAGAAAATATGACACCGAACACAGTGAAAATAATTTGCACTTAATAAAACATACATCACTAAATAGTTTATCTTTGATAAAAAGAAAACCAAGAGTTATATGTGGCAACTAATGAAAATATTTTAATTAATTTGGATTAAGCTAGGAACAATTTTCAATTCTGGTTTCTACAGGTTAATTTTATTATATGCAATAAAGTTTACTTTGCTAATATTAGGCTTTAATAGTTAAAGAAAAATAATGTTTTACAATGTCTGTGTCACATTAGAATGGTCCTGGGATGCCTCTCAAGTCTGTGACTATGAATCCCCAGAGCTACAACAGGTTTCTACTTTCTGAATAATAAAAAGTTCTTCTAAAGTTTTGAATTTACCTACTTCTAGCTTCTTAAGCCTGAAAATGTCATGTGACAATATTAGCAAATATTGACCATAAAAAGGATATAAAATGGTACACCCAGTGAAGTTGAACTGAAAATGATGCATCATAGTGAAATCTGCCATCAAGAGGCTTTCGAATCAGATTTCAAAAAGGTGGTTAAATGGTCTCTTAGATGTACTTTAATCAAAACCATCTTCCTTTTGACTGACTCATATCTTAACTGATGGACCTGGTGCCTAATGGAATATTAACAATTTATTTTCATCACCATTATACTTTAATTCTCTGTATGTAGATACTCATATATGTGATTAAATCCCCACACGTAAGTATTCACATTCCTAGTGAGGCTTTCAAGACATTATATCCGAGAGAACTGCAAATACAATTTTGAGATTGTAAAGTAGGTTGACCACATTTTAGAATTACATTTCAAAACATTGAATCTGAGGAGTCATCACCCTCAACTATTTCTACTTAAGATTAACTAAATAATTCTGTATGCATTTGCTACTCTTAGGATTCCTTAAGATGGACATAATGCAATGTTAAAAAAAATCCCAAACTTCACCAGATATGAAATAGAAATCTTCCAAATAGGCCTTAAAAAGGCTTTTTAATAAATAGATTTTAAAATCCTTAAAATAAGCAAAAATCTTTTAAGGTAAAACAATCTAGTTTTGAAGGAATTTATAGTATGCTGATTAAATTTCTGCTATCTAGTTTACTACTTCTTTTTTGAATATTTCAAAGTTGAATTTATTAAATGAGAAAAGCATAGATCTGTGTCTAGAAAGGACTTCAAGTCTCCAAGTTACTAAGGCAGAATCTGGCTTCATGGGGTCTTGTGGGGGATCTGAAGGACCTTTTATTGTAAATGCTACAGTTTATTTCCTTGTCTGAACCATGTGATCCAGTGAGAGTATTAAATGTTATCTTCATATTCTGGAATAAGTTGGAATGCTCAAGTTTATACAACACATCACAAATAAGTTGTAGCAGGAAATATATATATATATAATTGCAGGGGAATTATTGGAAAGTCATGTATGCCTATTCCTTTGCAAATGAAGAAACCTATACACGTTGGAAGTGCTCTACATCTTTCTACCCTATTAAGAAAAAAGGAAAAACATAGGTAATTTAAAATGCCTGTCACACAGCACTTGCATCATTTTCAAACTTCATGGTATTTGTAAGGAGGAACATGTGAAGTGTGAACGTCCTAGCAGTTCCTCCCACTGTGTTAAAAAAAAACCACTATAGTTGCTTTGCTTTGTGATTTATCAGCCATCATGCTCCTCAATATTTGTGGAGTTGAGGCAATATGCCCCCCACATATAATGTGGCTTCTGCTTTTGTTGCAGCTGCTGCACCACTGCCCACTCAAAACACCAGAGTAAACAAACCTGACATTAATTTG